GTGAACTGTCAACGGGGGGGGGCGGGTGTTATGCCGTGTGTGCATGCACCTTGCGGGAGCGCGCACAGCGTAAAGCAAAAACTCCCAGACATTTCAATGATCTGTACGGCAAAGTACTGTTTGGAAAATATATCATTTCCTTTTGGAGGGCATGCATAACACGGCAAACACCAGAGCCTCGCTGCGGGGAAACTTTGGCGCTGTTCCGAGATTGTTCTAATCCGTCAACATGACAGACTTCTTTCAGATTTTTCCGTCATTGTTAAAAAAAATATTCGGTTAACGCGACCACTGCTGTCCCAGCAACATCAGTACCAAGCGAGAGAGTTTTTTCCACAGCAGGGGATATTGTAAATGCCCAAACATCCTAGCTTCTACCTGGAAATGTGGACATGCTCATATTCCTAAAAACCTGTCTGATGATGCTGAGTGAGTGACTTAGTGAGTTTGAATTGAGTTACTTGAACAACTAAAGTGAAACTTGATTTATTTTATTGCGGGTCTGATTATAAATGTCCTTGTTTATTTGTGAGATGCAGTGGCACAAAGAAAATGCCTACTTTGTTTGGAAGTACTATTAGGTAAAAAAACACTGGTTGTTCTTGTTCCAGTCTGTTACTGTCACTTTGATTTTGACACTTTCAAATACTACTATCCTACTAAAATACTGGACAAATCAGATGTATTATTTAATAAAGAACATTTTACAAGTAAAAAATAAATACATTTCAAAATAATAATAATAATTTCAATATCGCGATAAATACCGTACCGTTGACTTGAGATCCCGATATTATCGTACCGTGAGTTTTTGGTATCGTTACATCCCTAAAACACGCTGTTTAAAAATAGTTCCTGCAATCATTCACTGTAAACTGCACAACAAGAGACATTTAATATCGACATACAGATGTAAACAACTTCATGTGACCTTGTATTGTTATTGACTTAAGGATTGTGGTGGGTTGACATAATTCACCCACGGAACTATGGGTTGGGTTACGGTTCCGCACGGACATTTTAGTGTACAGGAACTTCCTTTTCCGGTCAGTTAGTTTCCCGGGCTTGAGAGTGTTTACTTTCTGTTCCATGTTGAATAAAAGACTAGCTTTGTCTTTTGACACACCGCCTCTGACTCCCGCCTCTCGGCACTACATTGGTGACCCCGAAGTAAGTTTCGTGGAAGTATCCAAGACTGAATGACTGACTTACCGAACATGGCAAATCACGCCATTCTTCTCAAAATGGCGGAGTTGTTGGAGACTTCCGCGGCAGCATGCTTCGCACAGGCAGAGGCTCAATTCGCCCTCCGTGAGATAATAGGGGACGACGCACACTATTTCCACGTCGTCTTGGCACTGGGAAGCTCCATGGCGGCCCTGACGGTGGGCTTTATTACATCTCCCCCTGCTCAAGTTAAATATGCAGCATTCAAGGCTTTCCTGCTCAAGACTTTCGAGTTATTACGGCGTGAACGAGCCTGACCTCTGTTTGCTATTAATAGCCTGGGAGACAGCAAGCCTTCCAAACACATGCAAATGATGCTAGGTACGGAAGAACCAAACTTTCTGCTAACCGTTTCTCCCTGGTCACCCAGCGTTACACCCCCCCCCCGGTAGAGGCATGCTAACTAGTAGAAGACATCTCCTTCCGTCTCCTCGGCGCAGAATTCCTGTGCGCTCACGGACTACTGGCGGACGTCAAGAACAGCCGCCTGTTGGACGCACGGACGTTTGCCTCGTTCGCTATTGTCCACGGCGAGGTATCATACTGCGGGCTCTCCAGCTCAGTCTCACAGGGTGACAAGTATCAACGCCTTCTCAGTGAGTTCCTCAGCTTCATGCAGCCCACCTTTTCTGCCGTAACTACCAAACACGGGGTCGAGCACCACATTGACACTAGAGGCCCCCCAGTCTTTGCTAGGGCCCGTCGGCTCAACCCTGACATGCTGGCGGTTGCCAAGTCGGAGTTTGCCAATATGGAGCGTCTGGGCATCATCCACCACTCGGACAGCCCTTGGTCCTCACCGCTCCACATGGTCCCAAAACCAGCCAGCGGGTGGCGACCGTGTGGAGACTACAACGCCACTACACCAGACCGCTAGCCAGTCCCTCACATCCAGGACTTCTCTGCTCACCTAGCGGGCAAGCTGGTTTTCTCCAAAGTGTACCTGGTGGCTACCACCAGGTTCCGGTGCACCCCTCAGACGTCCCCAAAACAGCGGTGGTTACGCCGTTCGGGCTGTTTGAATTCTTGCATATGCCGTTTGGACTTAAAAATGCAGCTCAGTCCTTTCAGCGGCTGATGGATTCGGCGCTCAGAGACATGCCATTCATCTTCGTCTATTCAGACGACATCCTCGTCGCCAGCTCCTCTGAAGAAGAGCACCAGGCACATCTCCGAGACCTTTTCACGAGGCTCCACCAACAGGGCCCGATCATCAACCCGGCGAAGTGTCAGTTCGGGTTGTCCTCCATCCACTTCCTCGGACATCTCATCAACAAAGACGGAGCCGCCCCCCTCCCGTCGAAAGTGGAGGCCTTGTCCGCCTTTCCCCGAACGCACACAACTCGGGCGCTCCGAGAGTTCCTCGCCATTGAACGCTCGACTCCAGCCCGTGTGTTTGCTGGTTCCTGTTTGCCTGTTCTGGTTTCATTGGTTCGTGCTCCAGTGTGAGTCTTTCTCTATTTCCTGCTGTGGATTCATCCTTCCCTGAACTGAGAGGCAACATCAGTTCTCCTGAGAGTGTCCGTGGGAGATTTTGTGTTTCCGTTACAGCAGGGGTGTCAAACTAAATTTCATCGCGGACCACATTCGCATTTTGGTTGCACTCAAAGGGCCGGTTGTAACTTTAAGACTATATAAATATACATATATAATAATTAGGTATATTAAATGATGCATTATATTACATGATTACCTCTGCATTGGGTTATTATCGGATAGGGTTATAACTTCATAATTAACTACGTCTGAAAGCAGAAGTCTAGGGCAAATAATTGCAAATCTCTTCAGTGTGCATTTCACAAAACGAGATGCATTGTGGGACATGTAGTTTATGGACATCGTGCTTCTGTAAAGCGGCATTAAAAACTGTATAATAAACGTATTATATTTTTTGCAAGCTCTTGCGGGGCCACAGAAAATGAAGTCGCGAGCCGGAGGAGTTTGACACCGCTGCCTTAATGCATACAAAATAAATAAAAACGTGAATAATCGCATTACCAGTTTTTACATAATTTTGCTCACGAAATACCAGCTCGGAAGTTTACTATTAACTTGCATGGGAGATAAAATAAATATTTCATTACAAAGTAGAAATCCTTCTGATTTCTATTGAGTTTGCAATGCAGTTCTTTAGTACAACACCACACATGTTTGTGTTTCATCTCTCCCAAATACCAGGTAATACTAGTATTTCAAAACTTGTGATACATCATGATTAATCACAGGGATATTGTTGAAATGTTCTGGCGAGTGTTGAAGGTCTGACAGGACGTGAACTTGTACAATTTGCAATTACAAAATGATCTTGACCCAGAATGTGGTTTCATTTCTTTTGGGAGTAGCAACTGTTGGCATTGCACATTACAAACACTGAGGAGTTACTGGTGAATGAATGCAACTAAACAAAGACATGGCTTCTGATTTGAACAACAAAACAAACAACTGGGGACACTCAAGTCTGGAGTTACTAAAAACGTAATCATGATTAATCATTGGGATATTGTTGAAATGTTCTGGCGAGTGGTGCAGGTCTTACTCTGACAGGAAGTCTGCGTGGTAGTAGTAGTCGGAGAGTTTGTCCAGAAAGGACCGTGGCTCCAGGATGAAAGTGGGCAGAACCACTTTGGAGAGATCCATGCCGGGTCGCACCTGCTTCAGAAGAGTCCAGATCAGAGACTTATTCTCCTCCGACACCGTCTCCGTCTGCGCCGCCTCACCCGCCTGAAGAGAGGGAGACACACACAGGGTTTGATTAGCTCCGAACAAACATGTTGCCTCGGCCTCAGTAGGCGTTTCATTAGAGGGCTGCAAAACAGACACAATGCTCAAAAGCCTCTCCCCAAAAGCCCCAGCAAAGGAACATGCTAATTCCTATCACACTACACACCTACGCAATGATCACATTCAGGCACACTGTAGAATACAACCTCTTCGGGACCATTTCTTTTTTTAATAGCCTTCATTTTTGCTAAATTGATTTATCAACTTGTAATACTTTTTAAGACCCCGCGGACCCCCTGATACATTTCTCATACTTTATATTACATTTCTTGCTCTTACCTGATAATCCCTTAACCTGCTTTTATCTAGTGATACGGTTGTTAAGTTGGCGAGACTGATCTGTCTCCTAATACAAGCTCGGCATAGAATAAATCATTTCTCATAGTATATTTGAAATGTTTTCTTGCTATCTCCTGATAGTCTGAATAAGCCCTTATCCTGCTTGTTAGAAGTAAAGCCTGAGAAGTCACTAAATCTATTGATAAAGTTGTTGAATTGGCGAAAAGCTGTAGATCGACTGATTCCCGTCACTGACTTTCCGATTGGTTTATATCTAAAGAATCTTAGAGAAGACCTGAATGAAACTCTTCGTGCCGTACCTCTCCGAGCTCCTCGTGGGATTGTTCCAGATACGGTGTTTCCCTCAGATGTTCGTTGGGGTCCAGGTCGATGTACGAGTCGTCTTGGCGCTCCGACGTGTCGCTGTCGCTCTCCTCGCTCTTCTCCAGACCTTCGGGGTCCGACTCCTCGTGGTCCTGCTCCCCCTCACGGTCAGATTTATCCGAATACAGGTCCGGGTCTTTCAGATGGTCGCTGTCGTTGAACCTGGAGGAGATGTTGACGACAAATCATTTAGTAAAAAAAGGCTGGGAGCTTAAAGGTCACCTATTATGCAAAATCCACTTTTTTTAAATGTATTTTATACACATGTGTCCCCTCTGTGTAAAGACACTCTGAAAGTTTCAGGAACAAAGACCCCCTCTCTTTTTGTCCTGATCCATTTATATAAAAACCTTTATTATCGTTCCAAGAATGGAAGTAGTCATCACATACAGAGCATCAACTAGTTCCTGAACAGTGTCCTTCACATGCTGATATCCAAGAGAGGGAGTTACTCAGTCACAACATGGAGTCTTAATCATACATCCTGTCATTTACAAAATACTGAGTTTTTTCTCAAAATGTTGGCTTTTTTCAGAAAATCACAAAATTCCGACTTTATTTCAAAATTCTGACTTTTTCTTAAAATTCTGACTTTTTCTTAACATTGTGATTTTTTCTTAAAATTCTGACTTTTTCTAAAATGTTTGACTTTTTTCTAAACAATTCTGACTTTTTCTGAAAATCTTAAAATTGGCTCTTTTTTTTTATCTCAAAATTCTGACTTTTTTTTTAAATCTCAAAATTCCGACTTTTTCTGAAAATCTTAAAATTGGCTCTTTTTTTTTATCTCAAAATTCTGACTTTTTTTTTAAATCTCAAAATTCCGACTTTTTCTGAAAATCGGCTTTTTTCTGAAAATCACACAATTCTGACTTTTTCTCAAAATTCTGACTTTTTCTTAAAATTCTGACTTTTTCTTAAAATTCTGACTTTTTCTCAAAATTCTGACTTTCTCGCAAAATTCTGACTTTTTCTGAATACTTAAAAATGATGTACACAAAAAAATCGAACGGTACTCGAACAGCGCAGACCTCCGCCAATGCAACTGCAGCGAACATGAAACTAAAGTCGTGGATCCGCCCTGTGATTTGGATCGTTCCAAAACGTACAGTAATGGTTTCGTCCTTTGCCCATTCCACATCTTTCGCACCAAAACATAGCGTATTTTCCGGACTTTTTTTCCCCAAGCTCATCAAATAAATCTGAGTCGCACATAAATCGGCAGGGTAGGTCGGAAACCGGAAACAAATAATATTTTCTTTTAGGCCTAATCACACATCCTGTCATGTACACAGCTACAGCTGGGATACCTATGTGTACTCTGATATCGGAAGAGGACATTCAGTATTTTCCCAACACAGGTGTTTTTGTTTGCTACTCACTGGAAGCCGTGGATGTTGTGTGCTCGGAGGAGGCTGTAGAAGTTAATGGAGTGTTCTCCTCCGGTAGCGACTGTGCTCATGTCCTCTTTCCCCTCTCGGATCATGGTCCTCTTCAGCAGGCTAGAGCACTTCAGCGCCAGCTCTAAGGCGTCCATCCAGCATCGACCTGGAGACACATTCAGTTTGATTAAAACACACTCAAAGGGATGTACAACATACATTTGCAGGCTTTGCTGTTGGTTTATTATATATAAATATATCTGCAGTATATAATACACCATTTTTGATTTGATTTATGATGAAAAGAAGGGAAGTTCCATAATGGGCTAAAAATAGCAAGTGATTCTTGACAGTTTGACTATTTCAGCACCACGGAGAGAGACTCAGACAGGAAGAGAGTTGATGGACGTTTCAGCACCATGGACAGAGACTCAGACAGGAAGAGAGTTGATGGACGTTTCAGCACCATGGACAGAGACTCAGACAGGAAGAGAGTTGATGGACGTTTCAGCACCATGGACAGAGACTCAGACAGGAAGAGCGTTGATGGAAGTTTCAGCACCATGGACAGAGACACATCTTAACCATCCAATACTTAAGTCAAAAAGTTTCCACATATATCAAATGCAGTGAGATTGATTTACGTTTGGATAATTTAGGGTTTTGTTGATTACACTCTTTGTGTTTATTGTTGTTGTGCCCAATCAGGCAGTAGCATTGCATGTTGGGTCTATGTTAAGATCATATATTCACTTACCATCGGATTCAGAGGCAGCGCGGAAGATGAGGTGGCTGCCGGGTAATGGTTGAGTGATGGAGCCGACTGCTTCTCCTTTAGGACCCTGAGGACAACACATAAAGGAGGAAATACATATTTATTTATTTGTTTGTTTATTTCACACATGGCAGATAACACAGTAAAATAAAAGATGGGTTATGTATAAGGTCATCCTACATAATAGAATAATACAGTCCAATATACTCAGGAAAAATATCCAGTTACTGCAATGTTCAGATCCATTATTTATTTATTTGTAAACAAAGGTGAATATTCTCTCTCTCTCTCTCTCTCTCTCTCTCCCTGGGCGGGGCTTCAGGTGATCATGCAGAGCTGCGTGTCTCCGTCAGGTTTTGAATTTACCGGTTTTTAATAAATTTTAGCAGCTAAAAAACGGTAATTACCCGCTAACGGAAACCCTGGTGTGTGTGTGTGTGTGTGTGTGCGTGTGTGTGTGTGTGTGTGTGTGTGTGTGTGTGTGTGTGTGTGTGTGTGTGTGTGTGTGTGTGTGTGTGTGTGTGTGTGTGTGTGTTTCTTGTGTAACGTGTGCAAACAGAGAGAAACCTAGACTCCCCAGAGAGTCAGTATGCAACATATCTATGAGAGGGGACAGGTGGTCGGAAAGGTCAGTTATGAATACCAAATGGCAGATGGAGGGGACTGAAAGGAGCTTAAAAACAAAGGAACAAATGGAAAATGTGTGCGGCTGAATATGAAAATTGCTGGATGGATGTACTAGTAAATTAAACAAAGCTGAGAGAAAGAGCTCTTAATTACACAGCCACTATTGTTGTTCATTTTGTTTTGTCCATCTCTAGAGAACAAACAGACTGCATTCAAATCCCCCTTTAGCATCGTCGTCTTTTTTAATCTATTTAATCTATCTCTTAAATCCTTCAAAAAAATCTCTCAAAACTCACTTATAATTCACTCCAGCTTTCAAACTCTGATCAACACACACTTTACTCGCACTTGGATTAGGATTACTGTTCATGTTTTTTGTAAAGCGTCTTTGAGCACTCGAAAAAGCGCTATAAAAATCGAATGCATTATTACTATTATTATTATTATTAATAGTTTAAAATCATTAAACTCCTTATTCTGAATCTTAAGGTATGTTATATCGAGAGGTGGGAAGTAGTGGAGTACAAATACTTTGTTACTGTACTCAAGTACATGTTTCTGGTATCAGTACTTTACTCCACTACTTATTTTTCTGACGACATTTTACTTTGACTTTTGAACACAAATACCTGTACTTTCTACTTCTTACATTTTGAACTCAAATACCTGTACTTTCTACTTCTTACATGTTGAACACAAATACCTGTACTTTCTACTTCTTACATTTTGAACCCAAATACCTGTACTTTCTACTTCTTACATGTTGAACTCAAATACCTGTACTTTCTACTTCTTACATGTTGAACCCAAATACCTGTACTTTCTACTTCTTACATGTTGAACTCAAATACCTGTACTTTCTACTTCTCTCATTTTCCAAACAGGCTGGTTCCTTTAGTCTGAATGTGTGTTTGGTGGCGTGATCATTATTATTTAGAGTCATTGCGTGCCTATTGATTTGAACACGATCCGTGTATCCATCATTTCCTGGTCTTCTCTAAAGAAGAGGGACCAATGAAAACGTTGTCATGTTGCCGTTGGTCACCATGGAAACATTCATTAGCTAACAATGACATTATTGTTCTATTAATATAAAGGGAGGTCAGGTACTCTTTAAAACAGCTGCTAGTTATGGGTACTTTTTACTGAAGTACATTTCAAAGCCTCTTTACTTTGACTTGAGTAAAAAAGTTTAGTCAGTGCTTCTACTTTCACCAGAGTATTTTTAACCACGAGTATCTGTACTTCTACTTGAGGAAAGGATGTGTGTACCCTCTCTGCCTCTCACCTTGACGGCCCAGATGGACTGCTCCAGCGGGTGGAAGAGTTTGAAGCAGAATCCATCTTTCTTGGACGGCCTCTCGATGAGCTCGCAGGCGTTCAGCAGCACCGTGCCGACCCACTGCCCGTTCTTGTGGGTTTTGTAGATGAGCAGGACGCCTGGTTTCAGAACGCACCACAGCTTGGTCCAGCTTTTCAGAGTGCCGCGGATCTGCAACAGAAACAGAGAAAGTGTGAGAAACCTTGCCTTCTGTGATAGGCTACATGGAGAGGACTCACATTAGGCAAACTGGAAAAGCTTTTATATTGTACAGCCAACAAATAAACTAGGAAATATTAACTGAGGGGTGGAAACATGGATGTATAAAGAGAACAGGA